AAGGGAAAGGATTGCAGAAAGAGTGGTATCTTTAATGCTTTTAATCCATGTCTTAATGAAGGATATGGAAGGGGAGCCTGTGGGAAGTCCCCCCCCCCCCCCCCCCCGCTCCCATAATGGGCCAAATAGGGCCATTAACCCCATTGCTGACACCCAGGCTCCCTGAAGGAAAAAAGGAAAGCTCCCAGGAACAGAAAGGGGAGCCTCATAATTCTCCATTGCTGTCAATGGGCTAGAACTAGCCGCATTTATAGGCTATGGGCCGAAAACGGCTGTCCAGTTACCCATCCGTTTTCAGGACGTCTGTGAAAATGCGTATGGGGGTCTACCGGTATCAAGCCAGCAGAAATGGATTGAGGTTATTTATTTATTATAATCTAGTTTCTGAATGCAGATTAACTGCTTTGATCTGGATAATATGGGCCTGGATTGACACTGCCATATAATCCAATTTCTGATCTCAGGATTATTTGCTTTGAACTGGATTATATGGCAGTGCAGACTCACATAATCCATTTTCAAGCAGATACTTAGGGATCCAATACTGGATTATACGGAAGTGTAGATCCAGCCTATACTTCCATGTAATCCAGTTCAATACAGTCCATCTGCATTTAGAAACTGAATTATATGGCTGTGTAGATGGTGGGTCTGAGCAATATGCACGCAATCGGTCAACCATTTCTGTGGCACACAATCAGTCAACAGGTACCGGTCTCTCTCTAAAATGGCTTCCTACAGTTTATTGCCTATCAGATTTATAGAAATAAATTATATGCACTATTAATTTTAGTTAGAACTTGCTGTACCTGCCACGCGTTGCTGTGGCCAACCATCTCTCCCTCTTTCTTTCTCTCCTTCCTTCCCTTTTTTTATTTTCCTCTTTCCTTCCTTCCTTCCTTCATTTCCTTTTCCCTCCCTTTTCTTTCCCTTCCTCTTTTTCTCCTTTCTTCCTTCTCTACCTATTCTTGGACTGCAGCTCCCAGCAGTCCTCCTGATCAAGCTATCTACCTACCTATCTCTATATAATCTATCTATCTGGAGGATTGCTGGAAGTTGCAGTCCAGGAATAGGAAATTGGAAATATGCAGGATTGGGATGCTCTCAAAGAAATCCAAGGAGAAGAAAGTTTGCATCTTGGAAGCTATGCATTTGGATCATCCTCTTCTCCTAAAGGGCCTGGTCTAGGGGATGCTGGGAGTTGTAATCCAGAAGACAGTGTGGACATGCTTTTGTGTGTTTTGTTTGCTGGGGGAGGGGTATTTTTGCGCATAAACTATAGCATCTTTTTGCGTTTTTGGATTTAAAGATCGAACTGCAAAGTCTCTGGCACAAGCCAGTCAAGGTGGTCCCAGTGGTGATTGACACACTGGGTGCAGTGCCTAAAGACCTTGGCCTGTACTTAAACACAATCGGTGCTGACAAAATTACCATCTGCGACCTGCAGAAGGCCACCTTACTGGGATCTGCACGCATTATTCGCTGATACATCACACAGTCCTAGACACTTGGGAAGTGTCCGACGTGTGATCCAATACAATAGCCAGCAGAGCGATCTTGTTTGTTGTGGACTCATCTTGTTGTTTTTCAAATAATAATAACAATACACTTTAAGCTGGAACAGCTACATTTTGAAGTGTAACTTCATCCAAAAAACATATAGTTTTGGGTAGCGTAGGGAAAAGGGAAGACTCCTGTGGTGTTTGTTTTGCTGTCTGCACCCCTGTTCAAAAGATTCCCCCTGCGCCACAATTGAAGAGAGATATTGACAAGCTGGAATGTGTCCAGAGGAGGGCAACTAAAATGATCAAGGGTCTGGAGAATAAGCCCTATGAGGAGCGGCTTAAAGAGCTGGGCATGTTTAGCCTTAACAAGAGAAGGCTGAGAGGAGACATGATAGCCATGTATAGGAAGCCATAGGGAAGAGGGAGCAAGCTTGTTTTCTGCTGCCCTGGAGACCTGGACACAGAACAATGGCTTCAAACTACAATATAATAATAATAATCATCATCATCATCATCATCATCATCTTTATTTATACCCCTCCACCATCTCCCCAATGGAGACTCGGAGCGGCTTACATGAGGCCAAGCCCAAACAACAATTTACAATAAAAATAAAACCAAAACACAACCGAAAACGCAGACAGTAAAAGCAACATCGTAATAAAACAAAACATGTAAACAAATAACAATATAAAGTTACAATAGACGCAATCACAATGACAGTGGGCGTAAAAGAGAGACTAATTAAAACTAATTTAAAACTCGGGTGAGATAAAAAGAGACAAATTATTTGCGGCGGAGAACTCATTACATTATAGCAGGGGTTGTGGAATCAAGTTTTCCCACAGAGGGGGGATGACATGTACTCCAATGACAGAATGTTGAGGCTAAGCAGTAGTGTGGGATTGTATACCTGCTCTCCAAAGGTGCAGCGGAAGAGCCAGGTTTTAAGGTCCTTTTTAAAGGTTTCTAGGGTATGGGCTTTCCTAATTTATCCTGGTAGGGAGTTCCAAAGTCGGGGGGGGGGCACAGAGGAGAAAGCTCTCTGTAGAAAGATGGGCCAAAACTAACAAAATGAAGTTCAACAGTGACAAATACAAGATACTCCACTTAGGCAGAAAAAACGAAATGCAAAGATACAGAATGGGGGACGCCTGGCTCAAGAGCAGTACGTGTGAAAAAGATCTTGGAGTCCTCGTGGACAACAAGTTAAACATGAGCCAACAATAGAAGCATAGTGTCTAGATCTAGGGAAGCAATGTTACCCCTCTATTCCGCTTTGGTTAGCCCACACCTGGAATATTGTGTCCAATTCTGGGCACCACAATTCAAGAGCAATATTGACAAGCTGGAATGTGTCCACAGGAGGGTGACTAAAATGATCAAGGATGTGGAGAACAAGCACTATGAGGAGCGGCTTAAGGAGCTGGGCATGTTTAGCCTGTAGAAGAGAAGGCTGAGAGGAGATATGATATCCATGTATAAATATGTGAGAGGAAGCCACAGGGAGGAGGGTGCAAGCTTGTTTTCTGCTTCCCTGGAGACTAGGACGCGGAACAATGGCTTCAAACTACAAGAAAGGAAATTCCATCTCAACATGAGGAAGAACTTCCTGACTGTGAGAGCCAATCAGCAGTAGAACTCTCTGCCCCGGAGTGTGGTGGAGGCGCTTTCTTTGGAAGCTTTTAAACAGAGGCTGGATGGCCATCTGTCAGGGGTGATTTGATTGCAATATTCCTGCTTCTTGGCAGGGGGTTGGACTGGATGGCCCATGAGGTCTCTTCCAACTCTTTGATTCTATGATTCTAGGGGACGCCGGGATGATTTGATGTTTTATCATTCTTGTGGGAGGCTTCTCTCATGTCCCCGCATGAGGAGCTGGAGCTGATGGAGGGAGCTCATCCGCCTCTCCCCGGATTTGAACCTGCGACCTGTCGGTCTTTAGTCCTGCTGGCACAAGGGTTTAACCCACTGCACCACCGGGAGATCCATTTTGTAGGTAATAACCTGCACCTTGAGTTGGGACCGGAAAATAAACAGCAGCCAGTGGAGCTCCTTAAACTGGGGGGTTGACCACTCCCTACAAGAAAGGAGATTCCATCTGAACATTAGGAAGAACGTCCTGACTGTGAGAGCCGTTCAGCAGTGGAACTCTCTGCCCTGGAGTGTGGTGGAGGCTCCTTCTTTGGAAGCTTTTAAACCAGTGGTTCTCAACCTTCCTAATGCCGTGACCCCTTAGTACAGTCCCTCATGTGGTGGTGACCCCAAACCATAACACTGTATTTGTTGCTACTTCATAACAGTCATTTCACTACTGTTATAAGTCATAATGTAAATATCAGATATGCAAGATGTATTTTCATTCACTGGACCGAACTGGGCACAAATACCCAATGCACCCACATGTACATGCTAGTGGAGTTGGGAGAGGATTGATTTTGTAATTTGGGAGTTGTAGTTGCTGGGATTTATAGTTCACTTATAATCAAAGAGCATTCTAAACTCCACTAGCGATGGATTTGAACCAAACTTGGCTCCCATGACCAATGCAAAACACCGGAAGGGTTTGATGGGCATTGACTTTGAGTTTGGGAGTTGTAGTTCACCTATATCCAGAGAGCACTGTGGATGCAAACAATGATGGATCTGGACCAAACTTGGCACGAATACTCAATATGCCCAAATGTGAACACTGGTGGAGTCCGGGGAAAATAGATCTTGACATTTGGGAGTTGTAGTTGCTGAGATTTATAGTTCACATACAACCAAAGAGCATTATGAACGCCACCAATAATAGAATTGGCTCAAACTTCCCACATGGAATCCCCATGACCATCAGAAAATACTGTGTTTTCTTATGGTCTTTGGCGACCCCTCTGACACCCCCTCGCGACCCCCTCAGGTTGAGAAACAGTGTTTTAAACAGAGGTTGGATGGCCATCTGTCGGGGATGCTTTGAATGCAGTTTTCCTACTTTTTGGCAGGGGGTTAGACTGGATGGCCCATGAGATCTCTTCCAACTCTATGATTCTGTGTGAGTTGGATTTTGGGAAACTTGGCTTGTGGTGAAAACAAGGATTGGGGATAAACCTTCAGTGGGGACCCCTTTCCTCATGATAATAACTCTTCCAGGATTTCCCTTCCTAAAGGGAGATCCCTCCCACTTCCTGTGATCTCACCCCAGAGTCCTTAACTAGGAGTGGGATGTTTGCAACCCGGGACTGCCTAAAGGAAGGAAGCAAACCCAAAGAGAGGAAGCAGCAGCGTTGATGCAAGCAGGGCTTTTCCAGGCCTGATCCTCGCAGGTGCCTTTCAGAAGGGTCTGAAAGGAAAGGGAAACAAACCCTCCCTCCTTGCATCCCGGAAAAGGAGGGCTACAGAAGGGAGGATGCTAAGGCCGGGAGGGGGAGGGAAAGGAAGGGAAGGGAAAGGGAGGGAGGGAGGTGCTCCGATTTCCGGGAAAGGCAGGGAAGGGGCGCAGCGCCGCCTGCTCACCTCGCTCACCAGCCCCTGCCAGTCGCTCTCGCTGCGGCTGGCGTGCATGATCCTCCCTCGGGCTGGGCTCCTCCAGGGCCGGCCTCGGCTCCCTTGGCCTCCTCTTCCTCCTCCTCTTCCCTCTTTTGCGCGACGTGGGCTTCCGAGGCGTGGAGGCGGAGCCCGGAGCCGCAGGGAGAGACCTGCCAAGCGCTTTCAGGGCCGAGCCCTCTTTGGCAGGAGCAGCGCCTCTGAGCATGTGCAGAGGGCCCATTCCCCCAGGTGCCCTTTCTGTCCATTGCATGGCGCGTCACTGGAGGAATTAATCCAGGGTGTCCCAAAGCCAGGAGCGTAGGAGCAGATTGCCTGGAGTCCCTATGGAGAGAAAGGCAATTTTCCGGGAAGCATTCTCTTCTGACGTTACGCCCCCATCTATGGCAGGCATCCTCAGAAACATGTTGAGGTTTATAGATCTGTGGAATGTCCAGGGTGAGAGAAAGAGGCAAGTGTGAATGTTGCAATTGGCCTTGATTAGCATTGAATGGCCTTGCAGCTTCAAAGCCTGGCTGCTTCCTGCCTGGGGAAATCCTTTGTTGGGAGGTGTTAGTTGGCCCTGATCATTTTCTATCTGGGATTCCCCCCTTTTTTAGTGTTGCTCTTCATTTACTGTCCTGATTTAGAGGGGTTTTTAAATACTGGTAGTCAGATTTTGTTCATTTTCATGGTTTCCTTCCTTTCTGTTGAAATTGTCCACGTGCTTGTGGATTTCAATGGCTTCTCTCTGTAGTCTGACATGGTGGTTGTTAGAGTGATCCACTATTTCTGTGTTCAGTAATAATAATAACAACAACAATAATAACTTTATTATTTTACCCTGCCTCCATCTCCCCAGAGGGACTTGGGGTGACTTAGCATTTAATGGCCTTGCAGCTTCAACAATAATAATAATTATTATTGTACCCACATCTATCTCCCGAGAGGGATTTGAGGTGACTTAGCATTTAATGGCCTTGCAGCTTCAATTATTATTATTATTATTATTATTATTATTATTATTATTATTACTAGCTGTGCCCTGCCACGCGTTGCTGTGGCCTTTAGTAAGAGTTTTGAAGTCTCTGCCTGGCCTCTCTTCCTTCCTTCCCTCGCCCTCTTTCCCTCTTTCTCTCACACTCCTTCCTTTCCCCCCTCTCTCTCTCTCTCTCTCTCTCTCTGGCATCCCTCCTTCCTCCCCCTTCTTTATGCTTGTGTGTAAACTTGAGTATCTTCTGTTGGTCATGGGGGTTCAGTGTGGCATGTTTGCCCCAATTCTGTCGTTGGTGGGGTTCAGGATGCTCTTTGAGTGTTGGTGAACTCTGAATCCCAGTGACTACAACTCCCAAATGTCAAGGTCTATTTCCCGCAAACTCCATCTGTGTTCATATTTGTGCGTATTGAGTGCTTGTGCTGGGGGGGGTTGGGGGTTGGGGGGAGGGGGGGTGTTGGTGCTCATTTGGAGGTTTTGGGGGGGGGGTTGGGGGGTGGCGTTGGGGGGGTGGGGGGGTTGGGGTTGACTTGGGGGGTTTGGGGGGGGGGGTTTGTTTGGGGGTTTTGGGGAGAGGGTGGGGGGGAGGCTTTTCCATCCTTGGGGGGTGGGGGTGGGGGGGGGGGGGGGGGTGTTGGGGGTTCAGGGGGGGTTGGGGGGGGTGGGGGGTGGTGGTAGGGGGGGGGGGGGGGGTGGCTGTGTGGATATTTGGGCGTATTGAATGCTTTGGTCCGGATCCATCATTGTGTCTTCAAAGTTGCCCCCTCCCTTCTCCCCACCCCTTCCCTCCCTGAGTCACTCCTTCCCTCCTCCCACCCCCTCCGGAAAGACACGCCCCCTCCCTTCGCCCCACCCCTTCCCTCCCTGATTGACTCCTGGAAGGAAAGGGTGGGGCGAAGGGAGGGGGCGTGTCTAACCGGAGGGGGGGAGGAGGGAAGGAGTGACTCAGGGAGGGAAGGGGTGGGGAGAAGGGAGGGGGCGACTTTGAAGACACGCCCCCTCCCTTCGCCCCACCCCTTTCCTCCGTGACTCACTCCTTCCCTCCTCCCTCCCTCTCCGGTTAGACACGCCCCCTCCCTTCGCCCCACCCCTTTCCTTCCAGGAGTCAATCAGGGAGGGAAGGGGTGGGGCGAAGGGAGGGGGCGTGTCTTTCCAGTGGGGATGCGGCGCGGCGAGGCTTGGAGTGTGCGGAGCGGGGCTTGGAGGCAGCGTGGGAGGAGTAAGATGAAGGAGGGGGTGGAGGGAAGGGGGTGGGGGGAAGTTGCGTTGTTTGTGTGTGTGTGTGTGCCGTGGGGAAGTGCGGTGACGTGTTCGCACTGGGCGGGGCGAGGGAGGGAGGGAAGTGCATTGGCCGTTCGGCCATGTGTGCGCGTGCGCTGGGGACTTTGCGCCAGTGCGCATGCTCAGTTGTTTTGCCGTTTTTTCTGTGTGTGGTTGTGTTGTTTTGATTTCTGACTGGATTAGTTTGTACCTAGTGGGTTGTCCTTGGGGCATGGCAATTTTGGCGGAGTTTTGTGGAGGGGTTTTAGAGTTTTGCTTCCCCGTTGGACACCAGTAGGAAATTTATAGATATAGATTGTACCCCACATCCATCTCCCCAGAGGGACTTGGGGTGACTTAGCAGTTTATGGCCTTGCAGCTTCAATAATAATAATAATTATTATTATTATTATTATTATTTGAAACACAACAAGATGAGTCTACAGCAGACACTCTGCTGGCTGTTGAATTGGATCACACATCGGACACTTCCCAAGCATCTAGGACTGTGTGATGTATCGGCGAATAATGCGTGCAGATCCCAGTAAGGTGGCCTTCTGCACCTGGCAGATGGTAATTTTGTCAACTCAGATTGTGTTTAAGTGCAGGCCAAGGTCTTTAGGCACTGCACCCTGTGTGCCAGTCACCACATCATCATCATCATCATCATCATCATTATTATTATTGTACCCCGCATCCATCTCCCCACAGGGAATCGGGGCAGTTTACATGGGTAAGCCAAATTTTTCAAAATCCATTTTTTCGCATGGACAGAATATGAGGAAATCTAAACAGGGACACAGACAGCAAAAAAAAACAAAAACCCACAGAGGTATTAAGTCTTCCTTATGCTATCCAAAGCTATCTCTCTATCTTTTGTTGTTCATTCATTCAGTTGCTTCTGACTCTTTGTGACCTCATGGACCAGCCCACGCCAGAGCTCCCTGTCAGCCGTCACCTCCCCCAGCTCCTTCAGAGTCAAGCCAGTCACTTCGAGGATGCCATCCATTCATCTTGCCCTTGGTCGGTCCCTCTTCTTTTTTCCTTCCATGTTCCCCAGCATAATAGTCATCTCTAATCTTTCCTTTCTTCTCATGATGTGGCCGAAGTACTTCATCTTTGCCTCTACTATCTTTCCTATCTATCTATCTATCTATCTATCTATCTATCTATCTATCTATCTATCTATCTATCTATATTTGGCTTACTGTGGAAACAAGGATTGGAGATTAAGTTTCAGGCAGACACCTTTTCCCCATGATTACTTTTCCTCTTCTACAATCTCTCCAGGATGATTTGAATAAGGGGAGGGCTGTGTGTCATCCATATCCTAGTAACATCTCGGTCTAAACCAACCAATGGCCTTCTGCAGCAGTTCACTATCAACCAGTGGTTCCCAACCTTTTTTTGACCAGGGACCACTTTGGCCAGGAACCATTCTCCAACATTAGTACCAAAAGGGTTGCGAATCACTTTTTGGTCAACTTTAGATTTGGTTTCGTTATTTGGGGTGCTGATTCAGAAAATCGCATTGGATAGACCACATCAGCTCGTTTTAATAGTGAATGCAATGTTTTATATGTTTTAATGTGCACTTAATTTTAATTTTTAACTTAAGTATATTCTGTTTGTTTTCCAAAGGCATTGAATAGTTGCCATATGTAAAGCTGCCTTGAGTCGCCTTCAGGGTAGAGAAAGGCGGGATGCAAATAGAATAAATAAATGAATAAGTAATAGTTTCTGATACAGAATATATGCCATCTATTAATCACCATCTGCTCATCCACAGAAAACCATATTTAATATCATGGGCACTATAAGAGGGTTTCGCAAGACCAGTTGCTCTCGTTGCAACCGTGTAGCAATGGTGAGGCCACGGACCTTATTTTAGTTCTTGTGGACCACTGATGGTCCACGGACCACAGGTTGGGAACCACTGCTTTAGATACTATAAAGTGTGGAAAACAAGATGGAATCTCACAGTATGTTTTATTTTAGGGGGAGGTGGAGGAGGAGAACAATAACAACACAACTACTTTATTTTTCTATCCCGCCTACATCTCCCCAAGGGGACTTGGGGCGGCTTACATGGGGCCAAGCCCAAAGTAACACAGTTAAAACAGAACAATAAAATATTAAAATACCCATAAAACAGCTTAAACAATAATAAGCAAACATCATAAGCAACAACAGACTCATTTTTGGAGGGGGCCAATATGCAAAACTAGTTAAAGAATAAGGTGGGCATAGTGTTGCTCTGTAGACATGCACTATTGGAAATCCACCTTCAAAGAATAAGCAGAATCACTGCAAAAAAGTTCCATATGTATCCATTCCTGCCAGCCACCCTAGAAGAACACAGCAGTTAATGATATCCAATGTCTCCGAGAGACACTTATCGGACAGCATTCCCCCCCCCCCCCTCTATCTCTGGTACAGGTTAAAATGCCCCAGATAATTTCAGTGCTAGAATTAGGCGCTGAGAGTAAGATTAGAATGGATTAAAATAATCGTTTTAGCTTTGCTACAGGCATATTATATATGCATGCTCAGAATGGTAGTTGCCCAGATCGATTTGGGGTTTTTTTTTAGTTCTCTCTGGGACTACAGATATTTAATGTTAACAATGCTAAAGTAAAAAAAAAGTATCACAATCTGCATCAAGTCTGTTCTGTTCGTAGTTTGCAAATGGGAGGCATACATACAAATACACACATTCCTTTAAATCTGCAGAGATAAGTTGCTTGATCTTCAAAGTGCCCCCACCATCACCTGAACATAAAACTCAAGAGATTATAAACCTGATTTTAAAAATGGATCTCCATTGGTGGTAGCGCCTATACTATACGTCTATCTTCCCCAGAGAAGTGATGTTTCTGTGATGAGTTATCCCTGGCTGGTGTAAGAGGTTTAAGCTGCTGAAAAGCAGCCTGCAAGTTGGAGTATTCATATGCTT